AGGGTTTGGGGTTTAGGGCCTTCCTGTAAGGTCTACAGGGAGGTCTCAGTCAGGCCTCCAAGGCGGCATAGATCCTCAAGCAAACTCCAACCGCAAGCCGAGACCTCAAACCAAAGCCTGAAAACCGGAGACGACACTCTAAAGGAAACCTCGACGCTTCTACGCTCTACAACCTCAAGTCCACAACCCAAACCGAAGCCCCGAAGCCCCAGCACAGCCTTAGCTTCCTTGTCGGGACGCCAAGTTGAAACGCTTTGGAGGTGAAGCCAACCCCGATCCTGTTGCCCATCAACATCCTCGAGGACTTCACCAAGCCGCCAGAAAGCCCGGATATCAGGGCATCCAGGGCTTAGGGGCTTAGGGTTTAGGGTTTAGGGTTTAGGGTTCAGGCTTTAGGGGTTTAGGGTTTAGACAGTTTAGGGGTTTATTTAAGACTGGGGGTTTAGGGCTTTAGGGGTTTGGGGTCTTAGAGCTTTAGGGTTTTTGGGGCTTAGGGTTTAAGGTTTAGGGGTTTCGGGTTTAGGGTTTTCGAGTTTAGACACTTTAGGGGTTTAGGATTTAAGGTTCTGGCTGTCGGGGGTTAAGATTCTTGTCAATGCTAAACTCCGAGGGTGATTTAAGGCTTTAGGTGAAGCTTCGCAGGTTCAGGGCGAGCCCTGCTATGCTTACGCGCCAACCACCACCTGCGAATTCCTAAAACTTTCCCACGAAACCTAAGCCCTAAACTAACCCTAAACCCTAAACCCTAAACCCTAACCTCTAAACCCTAAACCCTTAACCCTAAACCCGAAACCCGAAACTCTACACCCACAAGTCTAAGCCAGTGTAGCCCGCAGCGCGCCTTGGGGTTCTGCGCAGCAGTTCAGATGCATCTGACAAGCCATGTTCAGACGCGCTGCGATGGGTTTATGCAGCGAAACCTGGGTGGAACCCTAAACCCTAAACTCTAATCAGGGCACGACCCGGAACACCCTGAGCCCTAAACCCCCACCCAATCCCAACCCCTGTAAAAGGAACCGTGAACCGCTGAAGCTCCGAAAATCCTGCAACACCGAATCTCTAAACCCTATATAGAATCCTTAACCAACCTTACAACACCTCAAAGCCACCTTTAACACCTCAAGATTCTCGCACATTCCGGCCTGAGCCACCATAAACACCACCCTCAACCCCAAATCCTTTATCCTTAAATAAACCACCATGAGGGTAGTTTTCTAGATTAGGGCCCCTTTTTAGGTACCAAATAGACTACCCTACAGGGACCCATTTAAAGAGCCACCATGAGGTTGTCTCTGAGCTTCCGACTCTTCGGCAACGTTGTGGCGGATGAGCTGACTGTGGGAGTTTTCCGGCTCCGAACAAAAGAGGGCTTTACAGCACTTTCTCGCGGGTTTTGAGAGGATTTTAGGGTTTGGAGGGTTAGGGTTTTGGGTCAGGGTTTAGGGTTTAGGGTTTAGGATATAGGGATAAGGTTGTTCCAAGGTTGTCTAGGGTTTGTAACCTACGGAGTCCATGAGTCTTTCAAGGGAGACCCGAGGTGAATGATGCTCGAACTCACAGGGGCTGCTTGAGTAATCCAGTCACCGTGAACCCCCAGAATTCACCGGACAGATCTTTCAGGGCTTTGGGCTGTAATATAGTGGCCTTAATAATTAGAATAGGGTTTTGGGGGTTTCTCACTATAAAACAAGTACAACAAGCCCCGCACAACCCTATTCGAATTATTAAGGCCCCTATATTACCGTGGTGGCGTGCCGTAAATTCCAAAGCTCCAGTCGCAAATCATTCAGCCAGTTGGGTAGTAGGAGATCATGGGGTTGTTTAGGCTTAAGGGGTTTAGGGTTTGGGGCCTAGTTTAGGGTTTAGGGTTTCGGGCCTAGTTTAGGGTTAGGGGTTTAGGGTTTAGGGCCTAGTTTTGGGTTCAGGGTTTAGGAGCGCATGCGGGCAGGTCTCCAGCACCCTAAAGCCGAAAGTCTGTGAGCACGGCTAGGACTAGGATTGAGTTAACCCCAAACCCCAAAACCCCAAAACCCCTAAACCCCAAACCCCAAAACCCTAAACCCTAAATCCCAAACCCTAAACCCCTAAACCCCTAAACCCCTAAACCCTCCCAAAACCCATAAACCCCGAGCTCGTCTCCCAAGCCCGGCCTAGTCTCTGAAGATCGGTTTAGGGAACCTCGGGTTGAGGGTTTGCTTGGAGGTTCATGATGGGTAGTTATAGGGTTTAGGGTTTAGGGTTTAGGGTTTAGGGTTTAGGGTTTTGGGTTTAAGTGGGGTTCCTTTAAGGGTTCCTTTAAAGGGTTCCATAGGGTTTAGGGTTTAGGGTTCACCATTCATTGACCTTGGAGGTTTCTTGTCTGGGTAGTTCTCTAAACTAGGATCCCTGTTGGGGTCCTTTTTATAAGGGTGCCGTACTGTATTTGGGACTTAATAGAAGGACCCTAATCTACAGAACTACCCATATCATGGTTACCTGAAGAGCAAGCCGAATTTGTTGTCGCCGAATCTCCAATGCCCCAATGCTGTCAACCTGAAATCCAGAATTAGCTCAGAACCAAAATGTAGAAGCCTGAATACTTGCCACGATCATTCCTCAGGGTTCGTTGTTCTTGCCCAAGCCCTAAACCCTAAACTCTAGACCCTACACCCGAAACCCTAAACCCTAGACCCTAAACCCTAAACCCCAAACCGTATTCCAATTATTAAGACCCCTCTACTACCCCAACCCTCCCGAAGCCCGACCGCCGAACCCAAAATCCGAAACTACCCTCTAGGAAAGGGGCTTAAATAAAAATAGTTACCAAGAACAACTTTGGAGGTCCCCTAATTAATAATTGATTAATCAAGTAATCAATTAATTAAGTAATTAATTACATAAATAAATACATAATAATGAATATATGTATATAATTTGTTTAGTACAATATACCCCAAAACTCTAGTCTAATTATTAAGGCCAATATATATCAGGTGTTGTGCTTCCTGGTGCCCTTCATCATCCCACTGCCCATTATGGGCCTGGGTCTCTTCGCAGGCCTGTGGTTCGGTTCCTTGAAGGGTTCGAAGACAGGGGGTTTAGGGTTCAGGGTTTAGGGGTTTATAGGGTTTAGGGTTTAGGGGTTTAAGGGTTTAGGGTTTAGGGATCACGACTCCTACTGCGCTTTCAAGGGCCGGAGTGGCAGGGTGCCGATTATCTTATGCGATGCTGAAGGAGAC